CTATAAATGGCTCATCTATAGATGCTTTCATTACTTAGCACTGAAAATGTGCTAGTGCCATCAAAACATATACTTTATACTCTGGATTCCAGGGGAGAGTGTCATCTTTATGTACTAGATTTAAACAAAATTAAATGAAAGCTTCTACCCTTCGGTCTAAATCCCACTGTAAACCACTCCATATTTTCTCTCATCAACATCCTAGCTCATTTATCACCTTGCTCTTCATACCCAACCTAAAAGCTTTGAATTATTTCTTACTCCATTCCTGCACCACCTGTTCACACTGGCTGAGGAAATGAACTCTAAAGACAAAGCTACTTCTGTTGAACCCTCTAAGCATTAGCCCTTTACTCAACACTTTTCCACAATCCCCATTTTCATTAATATTATCCAGCCATCCCAGACACATACATTTGTCTTCTTTTTAACAACCACTACTATCACAAGTATCAATAAAATAAAATAAGAACTTCCTCAGTGCGTAGCTTGTAGCCATAAGCTCAGTAGTGCTCTTGCCCCAGGTTAGACTTCTCTGGAGCTCAAAGCATTCTCTGGAGCTCAAAGCATTCTGGTCTCATCAAGATTCTACTCAGTTTTCATGTTCCCTTTATGGCATCGGCCTTTGCCACTCACTAGCTCTGTCTTGTCAGCACATGTAAATAATTTTATGTCCATGTAAAACTGCTCTCCCTTGCTCCTACCTCTTTCTCCCAGTAGTATTTCAGATCTCCTCTGCTCAGTGAAGCTTTCTGAAAGGATGTCAAAACTACAAACTTCACCAAGGCAGAAAATATGACTGCTTTTCTCCTTTCTGACTTCTGTCTAGAATAGTTCTTAGAAGGTCTTCAATAGGTTTAGTAGTGCTTCAACAGGCACTTTAAAAAAAGGGTATTTGATGGCCAAGCAACATATGGAGGAACAGCTCAATGTTATTAACCATCAGAAAAAGAAAAAAAGACAAGATTTCATCTTTAAATAACCATCAGATGATCAAAATGAGAAAAATGAATGTACCACAGCTGGGGACAGTTGGGCTCCAGATGCCTTACTGGAAGGAGCAACAGCTGGCACACCCACTTTCAAAAGGCAAGTGGCAAAAACTCCTCGACTTGAATACACTGATTCCTAATCCAGAAACTCCACTTCTAGCTATACTCAAAAAAATCCATAGAAACACCATTTGTCAGAGCCAAAACCAAAAATAACACAAACTCATCAATAGTAGAGTGAGTAGATTACATCCATACAATGGAATTTAACACAGCAATGAGAAGGAATGCTTGTTACCTACAACAACATGAATTAATCTAACACACTATTGAGTGAAACAAACCAGACACAAAAGAAAAAAGTGTATCACCTCCTATATAGACACTAAAAAAATAAGCAAAACTAAGACAGATAGTATGAATCAGGATGATAGTAACCCTATTGAGACTGGAAAGGATCAGGAAACATGATATTAAAAATTGATAACATTCTGGCTTTTGACAAATCTGCTGTTTGGTTTTTATGAACGTTCATCAAATTGACTACATTCTTTTCTATCGCACACATGCGTGCATGCGCACACGCGCACAGGCACACACACGCACACGCGTGCACACGCACACACACACACACACACACACACACACACACACACCTGGATATATCAGTTTTCCCCTGATCCTCTCCTTATTCAAAAAGGGATACTGGATACACTTCTCAGTCTATGAAGACTCTAAGATCCTTGAAGACCAGGGCTTCCTTCATTAATGAACAGGGCCCAGGACACATATACTCACAGAAAATGATTCTAAATGAATGAATGAGCCTGTCGACTCAGTCTATCAATCAGCTTTGTCTCTTATGCTGTTAATTCTAAATTCTGCATTTTTAGCCACTTTGCTGGGCTCCAAGTGGTAGCTTCTTCTTGAAGACCCTCCAGTGATAATCAACTGTTTTTTTTTTTTTTACTAGAGAATATCTTTAAATCAGGAACTTCATAACGATTATTTCCTTCACTTATTACAATCAGACTGTAAAAGTTAGTAATTATTATTTTCTTTTTACAAACCAGAAAACCAAGGATCCCAAAGAGTAATATACATACACAGGGAAAAAGTCAGAGAAATAAACTTGAAACTCAAGTCTTTCTAATCCCAAATCCAGACATCACATGACCATTAATTCAACAAATATAAAATCTACATCATTGCTTTTCTCAAAGGCCTACTCCTGATAATCATTCTGGGCAATGTCGTCACTATCCACCTTCTCACCCAAGCTGTAGGCCCGGGGTCTGCTTTCTCTCCTTTCACCCTTCAAACTGATTCAATCACACAGCTCATACAGCACTGTTTCCCAAGCTGGAGAATCTATTTCCTGTATACTATTCTTTTTCTTTTGAAGGTAGCCATAACTGCATATACACTACTGTCTTCCAAATCCAGTCTGCGTTTCCTCTAATTTATTCTGCTGCTTATAAGATTTGCATAAAATGCAAATCCCCAAGCATGGCTCTCTTCCTTGTCTACAGGATAGAGATCAAACATACCACCAGAGTATACTGTGCTTAAACTAGTTGAAGCCAAGCGCGCTAGATCCTTTCCTTATGCGCTACCCTTTCTTCACCCACCCTGTAATCCAGCCATGTGAAGATTTACTGCCCACTCAGGAAAACAACTTGCTTTTTCCCCTGTATCCAGCCTCTGTGTGACAGGGCTTTATCTTTCTGGAATTCCCTACCCCTTACTGCCTATCAAATCCTGCCCCCCTCCCTCTTCCCCTGTCCTGCAAGATGCAGGCTCAAGCATTCACTCCTCTATGAAACCCCTCAAGCAAAGCTGGGCCATGGCTTCCAGGTCACAGCTCTGCTCAGCACATCCTCCTCAAATGGCCCAATTCACACAGCACCCCTGACTTGCTACAATGTAAAGCCTTCCCTTCACATCATTAGCTCTCACAGGCAGAGACCTAAGCCTGTTGATTTTTACATGCTCAGGCCAGTAGCCAACAGTTAAGTCACAGATATTCAAACAAGTGAATTAACAAGTAAATTCAGTGCTACATGAATAAACTATATATGTACGAGTAATTTTAGTTGCAGACAATTTTTGAAGCAAATCCAAAATTAATGTTCCAAGTGGAACTTCCTCTTTGTGGACTTTACTAAAGAATAACTCAGAGTACTAGCTGAAACTGCTGTGTAAATGGTGTACACGTGTCCTCTCTCTCTCTCTCTCCTTCTCTCCCTCTCTCTCTCCCTCTCCCTCTCCCTCTCTTTCTGTCTCTGTCTCTCTCTCTCTCTCTCTCTCTCTCTCTCTCTCTCTCTCTCTCTCTCTCTCTCTCTCTCTCTCTCCAGCCTCATATCTATAACATCCTTCTACTACCATCTGATGAAAGGAAAAAATAAAGACTCATATGAAATAGGGTTAGTTCTTTGATCCCTAATGCCTAAACCCAGGGATAAAGTCTCAACCTCAAATTTTAGGTGGACCAAACATGGTCAAAATATTATCAAAATGTATTCTCAGAGTAACTAGGAGAGAGCAGAATCTTCTGTTTATCTCCTGGGTCAACTGAACCAGAACAAAACAAAAAAAGTTCTTTTTCAGGTTGTTTTAGTATTTCTATGATGCAGGACATGTAAATGAGAAGCAGTAATGCTGTCTTTCATAATAAAGAAAGCAAAGGGTTACAAGATTGCCAGAGATGAATGTGGCTTTGGAGCACGGGGAGAGAAGAAACAATTGAAAGTTAAACCCAGAGGCTGAGAGTCATAGGCAACACTATTCACCTACTACTCACTTCACAACCACAGGGCGCTGGAATAGCAGGCAGGACAGCAGAGGGCAGACCTATAGATGGTGCCCCTCCCACAGAGCAGGGAGCAGACTGCAGCATTCACCAGCCCCCTACACTTACTATGTGAAGGCTACAATTTACCAGCTCTCCCTGAAATGAGACTATGGAAAGTGGCAGTCAGATGTCCCCTAGGGACCCCAGAAAACCAGTAACTATTCTGACATTCCGAGAAGAGAGGAAAAGAGGTTTTTTTTCTCACAATAACATTTCTGAATTGCCTTTTCTTGCTTCCTGGCTAAAGAGAGAGGAGAGGTAGGTGATTGGTGGCCAGGAATAAGAGAGAGGACAGCTGGCAAGGACTCTAATCAGTGTTTCTTCAACGAAGGCCTGAGTCTAGTACACATATAAAACCATGTGGGCAAGGTTGGGGGAGTGGGTATCTTCTCCCAACTCTGTGCTTTGAATGCGTTTATGTACACACACCCTCTATCAGACTACGTTCTTGATGTTGCCTTGGAGCCAACACCTCTGTGGTTTAGATGGAAGGATCCCACAGCTTTTATATTTCTAATAGCAGAGGTAAGAATTACTGCATATTATTAATTCTACTTCCACTTCCTATTTTCAGTTGTCATTTTGTTCTGTATAAACTCTGTTTGTTTAATTTACTCTGTATAAGATTCCTACAATAGAAGCTGGCAAATTGATTGTTTTGGCAATATCCAAACTTGAACCCATTAACATCTGGGAACCTCCCCCAACTCTGCTCTTTCAAACACAAATGCTTCTGGCCTTATCATATCTAGGGTTTAAGAGAGGTGCAAAATATAAATCAATCCATTTAACAGAAATACTGTGAAACATAAACAATAACTAGCACTTGTTTTCTCTAGCATGATACATGATAATTTATTTATACTTATAATTAATTCTCAAATAGACTTCCAGAATCAAAATCCAACCTAGAATACTTGTACAGATGTAGACATACTTCTGCAAGTTCCTCTTGGATCTCTTGTCCAAGCTCAGCTATTGCCTACTGTTTAGGAATTAAATAAGAGAAGCTTTTGAAAGGAAGAGAAAGTGAGCACAAACTCAGTATCTTTGCCACCTCTCTTTTGGGGATTCTGTATCTCCTAGGAAAATGACAATTTGGTTTCTGTAAAACAAATACAAAGGAATTGAAGAAAACAACTTTGATGTCCTACCTGCAAATCTGCTTTCGGTCCTAGTCACACGTTCTCATAATCTTGAGTCTCAATTTCTCAGGTAAATTCACCAATCTGCTGACAAGAAGTTTCATATTATCACTTCTCCGCCCACAGTACATATATTAAAACATGACTGAAAATGGCCTTCACGTTAGCCAGAGCTGCAAAACTGAATCTCTCAATTCAAAATATAAGAGTGTAAGAGTGAGGAGGGAGAGGTAAATGGGTAGGTGACACAGGTGGGAATATAGTACCAGAGTGCTCAGCAAAATAAAAATTTTATACTAGAAAACAGTTCATGTGCAACAAAATAAGCAGTGATAGCACTGGATGGTAACCAAAAGAATAAAATGAATACCATGAGTCTATACTGAAATCAATCAGTAAAATATATATTCTGTCTGCTCAAGAGATAAAGCAGAATTCTTCTCCCTCTAAGAATTAAATATAGAAAGAATACACAGAGGCAAGAAGTAATTTTACAGTGGAACACCCTGGTCAACTCTAACCAAGTGATCAGTTTATGGGACCAGTGGTAACGGATGGTGTTATGACATTTCTCCTAAAGAAGGCATTCCCCCTCAAGTTTAGTACTTCATCTGTACAAATTTCTGCACCAAAATTCAAGTCTACAGAATTTCTGACAGGAAAATGGAAGAAAAATAAGGGAGAGAAAAACAAATGTTCGACGAGAAATGTACTCATTACCTTACGTAACTCTAACCCCTCTGTACATGATCTTGACAATGAAATTAAAATTAAAAAACAAAATAAAAACAAATAGTCTTCAAAAATATTAATCCTCTATGGAACAAGGAGACTATGCAACATATACACTATGTTATTTGCCACACTGTTTTGTATTATATATTCACATATATGGCCTTACTGAATATTCTTTAAAGTGACTAGCTAAGGTATACTAAATGAACTTCTCAAGCAAATCAAATTCTTTTATTCCTATTAACCAACCTTAAAGGAGACTAACTTTTTTCAGTGCTGATTTTTATTTGTACAATAATTTTTCCTTCTCTGAATTTAATGCTACCAGAGTGACATCTTCAACTATTACTCCAGTTTGTGTGTGTGTGTGTGTGTGTGTATGCTCCATTTGTTGTTTTGTGTTGTTGGGGTTTTTTTTGTCTTACCATAGCAGCATGTATATTGTGGTAATGACCAGCACCAACATACAGTTACTGATTCAATGACACAACCATGCCTATAGTACAATGTTCAAGACTTTCTGAGCACCCAGAGCTGCATTCCACTGTCTCTTGGTTGCATGACAACAACCACCACAATATCCCACAGGGAAAGTGAAGAATTGATGAATAAAACGATAAATATTTGTGATCAAACAGGATACTAGAGAGCAGGATAGATTGAATAGAATATCTCAACTACTAATTAAAGCTAATTTTGAAGGACTCACAGTGGCCCTTTGTTGTAAAAGTCATAGCTATAAAGTGATAGATGATTTTCTGATATTTTTCTTTTATTAAAAGTGAAGAAATACTACAATGCAACATAATGTCATAAGATATGACCTGGACCTACTGAACTATCAGCACTATATTGCAAAAAGTGTCACTGACTATAGAAGACAATTCAGTGATTCAGGAAGTAATTATTTTTTTCAGGACAGAGAGCACATTTTCAAGAGATCTGCCCTTGCTTTGATTTAATGCAGACTTTAAACCACTGTTTTCCCTTTGATCAATGTCACTTAATAACAATAATAATATACTGACTTACAGGCTCAAGAGGGGCTATCGGCTTTTGTCTAGAGGAAATTCAAGAATTTTGAAATAAAACACAGTGCTTCACTCACACAGATGATCGACTCAAAAGACTACTCCTTTATGGATTCTCAATACTCAGATCTCTCAATACTCAAGTGATTCTGATAGCTGATATCAAGGTTTAAAAAAAAAACAAGACTAAAGGACAAAGTAGTAACTATGGTGGTATTCTGTGGAGTTCATTTTTTTTAATGTTAGTTATCATCAGCTATATCTTCTCAAAGTCCACAATATGCATGTCTCTCATCTATTTCACTCTTTACATGAAACAAAACTCTGTAAGAAATACCCAAAAGTAAGGCACAGCCCAGTATTAATTTGTTACTTTCATGAATCTCTGAAAACCTCTTCCACAGGAAGTGTCCTAAGAGTGGCCATTTTGGCAATGCATACACAAGGAAACAGGAAGAATGTCAACACCCAGACTACAGAATGAGGATAAGTAAGGACTAGGTAAAAGATAGCAAGCTCACTCACTGCGGGTTAAATATAAATATGAAACTTTAATATAAAACTAAGACTTATAGTAGTTTTTAGAGTTAAAAACTCAATTGTCCTACCTGATTTTCAAGTAATATTTGACAAGTGCCACCAAATGAAAAACTTAGCCTTTGTTATCTATGTGCTATACTTACCAGCCCTAAATAAGCTTTACCCATCAACTGATGCATGATCTTCTAAAAATCACTTCTAGAAAACTACATAGCTAACATTTTGAAAAGTGTTACAGAAAAGAGATTTTACTGCCACATATACTTTCCATTATAATATAATAAAAATTCCCTAAGAATCTGGAGTTTTTTTGTGCTTAACAAGAAGGCAGCAAATTTGAAAAGGCAAAATAAAGCCATGAGAAAATATAGTAGATACAGTATTAGATGAATATGATATTTCACTCTAAACATGACTCTCAGGCAAACTTCATAATATATAATATATATTTTTATGGACAGGTCTAAATCTTAACTTGATATGGACTCTGGTTTCTATATTCTTTCTGAAGGAAATCAAAGCAACTCAAAGCAGCTGAGCGCATCATCAGTGTTTGAGCAAAACAGTCTTTTCTTACCCTTCGAAAGAGAAGAAAGTCACACAGACAATGTCTTTACGTTCTCACCAAAACTGAGCATAAAAACCCCAACCTGTCAAGAATATTTATTATCACTTAGTTTTCATCTAGCCCAAATTCATCTTAAGAGTTTTCAGGTATATGAGATGTTCAACTTAATAACCCCAAATACGATTTATCAGTTTAGCTACTCTGGGTAACCTTCGTTTTGTGTATCCATTGATATGGGATAACAGCAACTCAACATCATCAGTACATAGCAAGCATGAATCCTCTCTATGATTAATTTAAACAAATTTAATTATATTTGTTCATAAATGTTTAGACTTCCTGTTTACTTTGTCATATTTTTATGCAATAATTTATCTTTCAAAACTACCTAAAGGAAAACATTTTCCACTGGGCTTAAATGGAACTCCTCTCTTTAAATCAATATAGAAATAATGCTGTTCAATTATTTATAAAATAAGTATCAAATAACTTGAACTACTTAAAAATAATTATTTTAAAAGACTATTTAATGAGCAAACATCACAATGTATTATAAATTCGCAAAGAATCTCCCAAATACATAGAATCTGAGGGTCACAGAACAAAACCAACAACAAAGAAAATAACCATCAAGGACCTGCTAAGGTGATTTTTGCAAATGACCAGTGATTTGAAGACACATTTTAAAAATCATTATTGCTACTTAACTTTTAAAATTAAAATGCTGGAAAGCAGTGTCATAAATGCTCAACTACACATGAAAATTTTCGCTTCCAAACATAGAGTGTTTTGAAGTATTATATATATATAAACTTTAACTATTTCTTTATTTTATTTCTTTATTTATTTATTTTGGTCAGTCACGGGGCTTGAACTCTGGGCCTGGACGCTGTCCGTCTGCTCGTCAGCTCAAGGTGAATGCTCTACTACTTGAGCCACAGAACCACTTCCGGTTTTCTGGTGGTTTATTGGAGATAAGAGTCTCACAGACTTTTCAAGAACTGGCTTTGAACTTCGATCCTCAGATCTCAGCCTCCTGAATAGCTAGGATTACAGGTGTGAGGCACCAGTACCCGGCTATTTCTTTATTTTTTAAAACATGAGATTGGATACAGTTCCTTAACTAGCAGCCAGACTCACCATATTCAGAAATTTGTCAATATCTACATCAATATCTACAAGCTCAGTCAGTAAATCTACATTTAATCTATAAACATGTGATTAACATCTCTACATTTGAAAGGTTTTTACCTAATGATGATTAATTTCCCCCTAGTGTGTCCATCCTGTGATTCTAGAACACACAATTCTAAAATAATCTAACCTAGCCAAAGTAGCCCCAGAAATGGCATAAACAATGATAATCAGGGAACCACAGTCTTCATAGCTGCAACTTTTAGTTGACTTTGAAATTACACATGGAAAAATGAATCAAAGATCATCCAGAAATGATTAAGCTACAATTACATAATTCACAAAATTAACAAAACACAAATTAAGTCACATGGAGAAATGGAAAAAGTATAAGGAACAAGAATTAAAATATACAATATATAAAGAATTCTAAGGAATGTCTTTGTTCAAAAGTAGTAATTTATAATTTATACAATTTATTACTATTATTAATATACAACAGAAAATATATGACAAGTCATTTTGAGACAAGAAATATAATCGAGAAAGAAAAGTCACTACTTAGTCTGAAATTGCAAGCCAAAGCAACAACACAGTCAAAACGTTTTACTTTGGTGCAATTTTTATGAAAAATGGAAAGCAATATGAAAATGGAGACAATAGAAAATAAAAATATTCATACATTTAACAAATACCTCATAGGGAAAAAAATCAAATATTCAAAAGTACAAAATTTGTAGAATATTGTAAACATTAGGTTACATCAAAATTGAGCAGCCATTAAAATTAAAATATGGAAATTGGCAAAATGGAAATGTTTGTAATAAGATTTTGCGCGGGACAATAATGATATAAATAATATGAGATTATAATTTGTTATGATTATTCAAATATATGCAAGTGAACTAAAACCAGAGAGAAAAAAACTTTAAATCAAACTGACAGATTATAGAAGGTAACGGGATAAGTATGTATCTCTTCTATATTTGTAATGTAATACTGCTTGGGCAATGAATTAAAAATTGATAAGAACCAATGAGCCAAAGTAATATGGTGAATGCCAAAGTAAAATTTCC